CACACACACACACACACACACACACACGAATGCACTCGACTATGATACAATCTGTCCACGCGCCGACCGATTAAGTAAACAATCTCCAAGCACTGTCCTCTGATTTCGTGCGGTAGGGACGAACACTCGCTTTCTGGTGAACTAGTTTTGGGGGTTTTGACGCACACCCATATTTTGGATGAACCGGGTAGGGTTCTACCTTTTGAAACGATGAATTCAAACCGCTTTGGAGGTGAAATTTGAGGAAATAGCTCATAATATGATTAACAAGACAATCAACATCTTGGAGTTTATAGAATGATTGTTTCTCTCCAAATTGATATTCGTGCTCCGTTAGCAAGAAAGTAATACCCTCAGACGAAATTTCTTACGTGCTAGAGTAATAAAAATGGTATTAACAAATCAAAGCGTTTGTACAGCGCCGATGCCCGCTCAACAGAAAGCAGCTCTTTACAGTCCATTTTTATTACTCCAGCAGACATGATAGCATTCTGAAACAATTTCAACTTCCTGGAAAGCAGGTCGTTTGTCGTGAAGTTACCTGACTTTGTCAACCTAGCAGTCTTTTATCTCTCTCTCGCCCCCTCCCCCTTCCCTCGCACTTTTTGTCTAACCATATGTTTAACTTATCGTAAGAGCTTATCACTATGGACATACCATTTTCTCGGACGATGCCTTACTGGACTGCTATCCGGATGACATATTGTGCTGCCTTGGAATTACAAAGTTCTTTCTGTTCCGTAGGCCTAGTTTTGAAAAAAAATGACGTCAACACTTTTGAGTTTCACAGCATGTCAAGCTTTTTCGAATGCAGTTCTTTGAATTTCTTGATAACGACTCCGAATATTTTCACGATTTTGGTAGAGCAGATAGTATATTTATTTGATTTCTGACCTCACGGTCTTTTAGTGACTCAGATTGGCCAAAAATGTCGGATACGACTTTGTAATTCTGAGGTGGCAATTGGTTAGAATCCGTAATGGACGTAATTTTTGAACTTGTAATCTTTCGAAAGCGATCATAGTTCTCTACCAACTCGCTTGGTTTGGTCCTACTATCAGAAATGAATATTGAATTAGAGGTCCTTCCTCTTACATAACCTTACAGTGTTGAAAATACTTGTCATTGTGTGAAGGAGTTGAAAGATGAGTGTCGTCGAATAAGTCAGGGATTTGGTTCCGACGATCTTCTTTGAAATATAAGTCGGTTATCCGGATTGATAGTTCTGATTTTGCTCAGCTCAATCAAGTAGCCCGCACCCGCATGCATACTGGCTGCCTGTCGGGTCTCGATGACTTGGACTTAAGTGTCCCTAGCATGGCGAAAGAGATTTGGCTCTGGGGAAAGTTCGACCCAATACAAAAGTGTTATGTGTCCACAAAACCTGGGGGTGGGG